CCAATGTGATTCTGCAACCTGTACAATCAGAAAAATGAGAAATTATACCCCATTTGATTCAAATGTAAAAAATAAAATAATATCAATTAAATAAAAAAGGAAGTTACCAGCATCCAATAAACAAAAATTCCCAAAGTGTTTCTGAACCAAAGAGACTGAAATAAGTGCAAATAATATTTTACCTAGATAATTCAGCCTCTGGATCCCAGAGGAGAAAAATCCCATAATTGCTTGCCTCCTTTAAGAGCTATTGCAAAGTCTCTGGCTGCACCCACACAAGCACATTTGCATTCCAGGGCATGTATATACACAATGCAATGAAGAGTTCATTCTTTGAAAAGATAAGTAAAATTGGTAAACCTTTGGCAAAAATAACCAAAAAAAGAGAAGGTCCAAATCAATAAACTTAAAGATGAAAAAGTGATATTACCACAGACCCTTCTGAAATCTAGAGGATCATCAGAAACTATTTTGAAAATTGATACTCCAATAAACTGGAAAATTTCTTAGAAGATATTGACAAATTTCTAGACACATGTGACCTGCTCAAATTTAACCAAGAAGATATAGAAAATTTAAATAAACCAATAGCAAGTAAAGGGCTTTTCATTGAAATACCAATTAAAAGGCTTCCAACAGAGAAAATCCTAGGACCAGATAGATTCTCAGCTAAGTTCTACAAGACCTTTAAAGAACCAAGACCAGTCTGTCCGAAGTTATTCCATAAAAGTGAAAGGAAGGGAAWACTCCCAAATACATTCTGTGAAGTAAAAAATCAGTAGAGATTATTATTGAAATAATGAAGATATAAAGGTCAAAAAGTCTATATATTGACATATTGACATTGCTACATGCAATATAGATGTATATTTCTATATTACATGTAGAAATTATATATCCAAGCTTAATCTGCCTGTGTAACACCTAGAAAAAATTATAAAGTTTTGCACTGGGCTTCACTAGTGAGAAAAGGAGACAGAAACTTCTATAGAGATTCTGCAACTAAAAGGAATGGCCTGCTAGGATTGGAGCCCACATAGTTCAAGGCACAGAACAGACACAGTGAGATCTGTGTTCTGAGAACATTAGACTCTAAAGAAATTATGCCTGAATCAGGTTGCCCCACCTTGGATTTTGGTTAAAGGAATCAACAAACTGCTATTTCTTCAGATAAGGTATTTTTTTTAAAAAAAATGCTGGGGATGAAAAGAATGTGAAGTATTTTTTATCCTTGTACATGTTGACAAGGCCACAATATAATAGGAGATTCAAGAGTATACACCATTAAGAAGGCAACACATAAAACACACAGTTTTCTAGGGGAAAAATATCAATTTCATTTATTTAACTGGCAGGTGATTGAACATAATTGCTATTTTAGGTAATTAATTCCACAGAAAACTGTACTCAGTAATA